TAAAGGAGAAACGCGGCTGCGGCCCCACCGGGCACAGCCCCCTCCCCACGGCCGACATCCCCCCGCTGCGGTGGGCACACGGGGCTGGATGCTCCCCCACGGCCGGTGGCCCCACACTGGGGTGGTCCAACAGGGCTGGACCCCTCCCATGGCCGGCTTTCCCTCCCAAGGGTGGTYCCAGGGGGCACAACACCTCCTCATGGACATCATCCCACCCCTGGGGCGGTCCCAGAGGGCAGGACCCTTCCCCTGATGATGGTTATCATYATCTTCAGCAGGGCTGGCCCACACTGGGGTTGGTTTCCCATGGCATTCCCCCCCCACTGGTGTGGTCCCACGGGACTGGATCCCCCAAATGACCAGAATCCCCCCCACTGGTGTCGTCCCATGGGATTGAATCCCCCAAAATGACCAGCATCCCCCCAACTGACCAGTATCCCCCCAAATGACCAGCATGCTCCTGCTGGTGGGGTCCCATGAGACTGAATGCCCCAAATGACCAGCATCCCCCCAAGTGACCAGTGTTCCCCCAAATGACTAGCATCTCCCCACTGGTGTGGTCCCATGGGATTGAATCGACCCAAATGACCAGCATCCCCCAAAATGACCAGTATCCCCTCACTGGGGTGTTCCCACAGGACTGGATCCCCAAAATAACTAGCATCCCCCCACTGGGGTGGTCCTACGGGATTGAATCCCCCCAAATGATCAGCATCCCCCCAAATGACCAGTATCCCCCCAACTGACCAGCATCCCCTCACTGGGGTGTTCCCACAGGACTGGATCTCCTAAATGACGAGCATCTCCCCACTGGTGTGGTCCCATGGGATTGAATCGACCCAAATGACCAGCATCCCCCAAAATGACCAGTATCCCCTCAACTGACCAGTATCTCCCCACTGGGGTGTTCCCACGGGATTGAATCCCCCCAAATGACCAGCATCCCCCCACTGGGGTGGTCCCACGGGACTGGATCCCCCAAATGACCAGCATCCCCCAAAATGACCAGTATCCCCTCAAATGACCAGCATCCCCCCAAATGACCAGCATCCCCTCACTGGGGTGGTCCCACTGGGCTCAGACCCCATCCTGCTCCATGGTGAGCCCAGCCCCCACCTCAGCCGCCCCCATGCCCCCCCTGCTCACCTGATGTAGCCCACCTGGGGCCTGTGTGCCAGCTGCCAGCGGTAGGACGTCTTGTCCCTCCAGCCGACGTTCCGAGGGTCCTTCCAGAGCAGGCGGACGTGGTCGGGCGTGTGGCCCGTGTGCCACAGCGCGTTGCGCAGGTGCTCGCCAGGACCCGTCGAGGATTTCACCGCCTGCGGGTGCGAGGGGGTGTCATGGGGGGCGTGAACAGGGGGACTGTCCYGGTTTATGGAGGGGGCCAGCACCCACCTTGAGCTGCAGCCCCGGCTCGGCCACGGCGCGGAACGGGGTGGCCTGCCAGTAGGTTTGCTCYGTCTGCTTCCACATCACCACGTAGAAGCTGGCGCTGTCCTGGTAGCTGAAGATGAAGCCGGCGTAGTCGTCGTCGGTGATGGTGTTGACGTGGAAGGTGCCCTCAAAGTCCACYCCGTTGAAGGCTGTGTAACCTACGGGCAGGAAACGCACGGGAGCCGCAGCCCACACACCCTTCACCTCTCTGTGGGGTCAAGAGCCGGCCCTCACTGCCCTGCACAGCGGGGTGGGAGTAGGAAGTGGGAAGTGGGCGAAGGAATCTTACCCACAGCCAAACCCGGGTCGCTGTTCATGGTCTGCACGATCTCCATGCCCTGTGGGGTGACAGCAGGGTGAGGGTCACCCCAATCCCGCTCACAGCCCCCTCAACCCCTGCAGCACAGCCCCCAGCACCACCACGGGGCGCAGCACCCACACCTGGTTGAGGACAACCCAGTTGGGGTCGATCTGGGCRTCCCCCTCGGGGTCCAGGATGACCGTCTGGTAGGCGCGGAAGTCGGTCAGCGTCACCTCGGCGCTCTCGGGGCACACGTCCAGCTGGTCCACCACCGTGTCATTGTCGAAATCCTCCTCACAGACATCACCCACGCCATTCCCTGGGGACACGTGCCCAGTCAGGACTGGACTGAGCCCATGCAGGTCTGCCCACCCTCCCCACCCCATTCTCACCGTCCGAGTCTTTTTGGTTGGGGTTGGGGATGAGGCGGCAGTTGTCTGGGCCAGGTGCCACGTAGTCCGGGATGCCATCGTTGTCATCGTCGTTGTCACAGTCATCCCCCAGCCCGTCGTTGTCCGAGTCCAGCTGGGAGCTGTTGGGGATCTCGGCRCAGTTGTCCTTGGTGTCCTGGTGCCCRTCCCCATCRCTGGRRGCAAGARMAAAATCAGAGCAACGCCAAAACYGGGGATGTGGCACYACATCCCAGCTCCCTGAAGACCCTCTCCTGCCAGGTGCCTGAATTGGGAGCCCAGGGACACAATGGGGAGGTCACCCCATGGCAGTGCCATCCACACCTGTCCTCGTTGGTGTCACAGATGTCTCCTACCAGGTCACTGTCCATATCTGTCTGGAGGAGAGCGGAGCCCGAGTTCAGTGGACATCCCGGGGTGAGGAAGACGCTCCCTGCTGGGTCAGGCCCCACTTGCCCCAGACCCCCTGGTCCACCTTGGCCCCAGCCATACCTGAGTGGGGTTRCTCATTTCGGGGCARCTGTCACAGGCRTCCCCRACCCCGTCCTCGTCCCKRTCGGTCTGCAGAGGGTTGGGCACCTTGGGGCAGTTATCCAGCATGTTGGGAATCCCTGCAAGGACAGCGCTGGGTGGATGCCCTCCCCCAGCCCAGAGGGACAGSCCTCCTGGCCCAGCCAGGCCACCCCAACGGCCACTCACCGTCCCCATCGATGTCGTTATCACAAGCGTCCCCCTCGCCATTGCTGTCTGTGTCCCKCTGGTCGTTGTTGGGCACGTTGGGGCAGTTGTCACAGGCATCCCCAAAGGAGTCGGTGTCTGAATTCTGCTGGTCCTTGTTGGGGAAGAGCCGGCAGTTGTCCTGTGGGGAGGAGGACAGGGATGATGGCACTAGTGGTGGCAGGGGGACAAGAGGCCGTGGTCAGAGCGGTCAGAGCAGGAGGTCTCCAGCACTCTGAGACCATTCCCAAGCCAGCAGGACCATTCCCTGCTGGACCCCAGGAGAARCATCTTGAGGAACTCAGAATTGAGCCAAAAGGAGGAGCCCTCCCAGAGCCACTGCCATGGCCACCAAGGCCACCCCAGCACAGCCACCTCCACATTCTTGACGCCATCACCATCAGCATCATCATCACATTGGTCTCCGATTCCATCGTTGTCAGCATCCTCCTGCCCCGAATTGGGCGTCAGGCGGCAGTTGTCCTGTGGGCACAGCCGGACATTAGGGACATTAGGGACATTAGGGAGGAGATGGGGTCTGGGGCACGGCCCTGCTGGGGTCCCTGTGCCCCCCACCCCCCGTGCCCCCCCTCCAGGAGCCCACCTGCTTGCAGTGCTTGTTGTTGTCGATGCAGGGCAGGGGCTCATCGGGGTACCCGTCCAGATCCGTGTCCGGCCCACACACGTTGCCATTGCCAGCCCAGCCCACGTTGCACTGAATAAAGAACAGATCAAGGGCTGGAAAGGGCCCYAGCAGGACCAGTGCCGCCCATCCTATAGCCCCCACACCCTCCTCCTGTCCCTGTCCCCTGCTCACCGCGCAGGAGATCTCCCCATTCCTCTCAAACAGGCAGAAGCCGTTGATGTCGCAGGGGTTGGAGGTGGGAGTGCGGCAGGATCTCTGMGGGATGCAGCCCGATGTCTGGTTCCCCACAAAGCCCGACTTGCAGGGCCCGCACTTGTAGGATCCCTGGGGAGGAGAGAGGGCAGGGRTGGGATGAGGGGAGCCCAGAGGCTCCAGGAGCCAGGGAGGGAGGGGACAGCGCTGCTCACCACTGTGTTGGTGCAGATGGAGTTGGGGTCACAGCCCCCGTTGTTCCCATCGTTGCACTCGTCGATGTCTGTGCAAACCTGTGAGCAGCGTGGCAGAAACGCTCACCCGGGGCCTTTCCCCGTGGGCAGTTCTGCCCATTCCTGCCCTCGGGGGAGCTGACCTGCTCCCCAGGCTGTCCTCCATTCCAGAGAGCCCACGGGGACCTGGCTGAGTCCCGTGGCACTGCACTCACCTGTTTGCTGGCCTTRGCATAGTCCACCCCCACGCCAGAGACGGTGTTGCCTCGATAGCCACGGGGACAGGGCTCGCAGCGGAACCCGGGGGCTGTGTTGATGCACTTGGAGCCGGGGAAGCAGGGGTTGGCATGGGCACACTGCAACACCAGGAGAGAGAGTTCGGCTTCATCCTTGGGCACAGCATCCCACCCCTCGAGGAGAATCCCACATCCCACTCCTCCGGGTGTCCTGGGGATGCCCTTCCTGAGAGGAATCATCCTCTGCCCATGTGTCCATGGCAGTTCTGGGGCTGCTGGTCCCCCCCAGCCCGTGCCCACCTCCTCGATGTCCACGCAGTGYGTGCCGTTGCCCTCCAGCCCCGGCGGGCAGGGCCCGCAGCGGTACCCGGGGTACTCGTACGTCTCCATGCAGTCCACGCCACTGAAGCAGGGGTTGGGRTTGCAGCGGGACCGGTGCTCGTGGAAGCCTGAGGAGAAGGGAGGCAGGTGAGGGGTGGGACGGGGTGGCCCTTTGCCCCCCGAGGTGGGAGCAGAGCCTCGCCAGCACTCACCGCAGACCTGGCACTCCATGATGGTGTTGCGGATCAGGGACATCTCCTTCACCTGCGAGGCACAAGGGGACAGAGCACCAGGAGGCTGTTGGCACTGATATCTGGGGAATCCAGCCCAGGCAGTGCCAGTCTCCCCCCAGTCCCACCTGGTCCCTAATGTCTTCCCGCAGCTCGCTCAGGACCCGGTTGAAGAGGGTCAGCTGCGTGACCAGTGCCTTGGTCTGCTCACCTGCCAGCAGCAGAAAGGACAAGGTCAGTCCCAGGACAGACACAGCCTCCCGGGGCCATGGGCCAGCGCTGCTCTGCCCATTGGCACTGAGCTGGGAGGGTGAGGCATTGGACAGCCTGTGCTTCACCCTGGTTCACACAGGACCCCTTTTCCCATAGCASAACCTCTGATCCCACATGGGGCACTGGGACAGGCTGGGCAGGGATTTCTGCCTTCGTGGAGCCCCAAATGCCTCACACCAGGGAATGAGGGAAACAGAGCAGGGACTCACCCAGGATGGAGGCCAGCACGCTTGTCACTGCAAGGAGAGAGATGAGACATTACCAAATGCTGCTGTCACACCACAGCAGAGTCACCTCACACGGTCACTCCTGGTGCAGCGCTGGGGCTCCCACCTGTGTGGGGACACTGGCCCAAGAGGGGCAGGAACATCTCTCTGTGCTGTCACCCCTCACCTCCCTATGCCAGGTGACCCCGTARGCCCCCCAAGCCATTACCTGCACTGTGAATGGACTCATCTCCTTGGAAAGGGCACTCGCTCAGGGCCCCCACACGGCTCATGGACCCTCCCAGGATCAGCTTCATTGACTCTATGAACCCCTGATGCACGTGGGAGGATGCAGTCAGTGTGGGGGGCTCTGCCCATCCCCAAGGGTGCAGTGGCTGGGGTCTCCATCCCCCCGGCGCTCACCTGCATCCTCTGGTAGGACTTCATCCCTGTGCGCACCTCGATGGACTCCACCTCACCCAGGGGGATCTCGGACAGCTCGGGCAGCCCCACGCTGGAGTCCGTCTGCTTGCAGTCGACGTAGAGCTCCACGCTCAGCGTGTCCCTCCGCAGCCCGCTCAGGCGCACGATGACAGAGTGGCTCTGCCCGTCCGCCAGCTGCGCGTGCTGCAGGTTGACCGAGTGCACCTTGTTGTCCTCACGCAGGTACCGCACCAGGACTGCGGAGGAGCGGGAAGGGGCCGTCAGCTCCCCCCGAGCACCGGCAGAACCCCGGGACCAGCGTGTGCCTATTGCTCTTCCTTGCAGGAGCCCGTTTGTCTCAGAGTTTGTCCCAGTCCCTCCCCACACGGAGGGCACCCACCTTTGTTGATCTTCCCCACCACGGAGACCTCCAGCCACCGAGTGTTGTCCTTCTTGGAGTAGAGGCCGAAGAGGGTCCCCCCCTGCTTGGGGGGCAGGCGGAAGGTGGACAGGAGGTACACGTCATTGACGGTCAGGAGCTCCATACGGATCTTGTGGGCCACGCTGGCCATYTGCCGAGCCTCGCTCACCAGCAGCAGGTCGATGACTGCGGGACACGAGCAACGGGGTCGCCTCCGCACCGGCAGCCGCAGCTCCGCCCGGTGACCACCGGGATGCCCGGTGCGGTCAGAGCGGGGGTGGGGTGGGGGTGTTCCTGGACCGCCGGGCCCTGGGGGAACCGGGGAAGCCCCGGGGGCTCCGGGGTCGGCCCCGCGCGGTGGCGCTCCAGGACCGGCCGCGCTGCCGAGAGGGACCCGCGGAGCCCCCGACCCGGCGAGTCCCGGCCCGGAGCGCGCCCCGCTGTTGGGGCTTCCCCGCATCCCGTTCTGCGGAGCTCCCCGCGGGCCAGCCCCAGCTAGGGGCGGCCGGGACCGGGAGATGCCGGAGGGACGCTCGGGCCCCCAGAACCGGCCCGGGGCGCTTAACGGGAAGCGCGGACAATTTGGTCCCGCTACCGCACGGGAGCCCGCCTGCTCCGTGCAGCCGCACCGGGCAGACCGAGAGCGGCTCCGGCTCCGGGGTCATTCCCCGCCGCGGCACTCCCCCGCGGCACCGAGCCAGCATCGGAACCGGCCGTCACCCCGCGCCCGGGGATGAACGTTCGYTCGTCCCCGCTGCCCGCAGTCCAGCTCTCCCGGAGCGAACGGAGCCGCTGTCAGCGGCCGCGGGACGGTGTCTGCCGCTGCCGACCCCCGACTGTCCCCCGTCCCGCCGCCCSTTCGGGACCGCCCCGCCGCCTCCCCGAGCCCCCCCGGTACCTTGCAGCCCCGGACGCGCGGCGGCGGCGGCGCCCAGCAGCAGCAGCGCCAGGAGCGCGGGGCTCCCCGGTGTCCCCATGGTACCGCCGGTGCCGCCGGTGCGGAGCGGAGCGCGGCGGGGCGGGGTGGCGCACGGGGGAGGGGCCGGCGGGGCCGGCGAGGAGGAAACAAAGAGCCGTCAATCACCGGGCGCATCCCGGGGACACCGGCGGGCCACCGGCCGTGGCCCCGACCCCGGAGCGGGGCACCGTGCCGGCGCGGCGCACYGGGCCCGGGGCTGCGGGGACCCCCGGTACTGCCCGCCCCGGGGCGGCCCCCGCTCGCAGCACCGGTTCACCGGGAGGTCAGGCGGGCGGGCTGGGGCCGCCCCAGCAGCGCCGGAGCATCCCGGGCCGGGAGAGCGGGACCGGCCCCGGGGCCGCTTTGTCCGGGAGTGCCCCGCGCCGCGGAATCCCCCGGGCCGGCAGAGCCCCGGGGCCRGTCCGTACCGCCGGGGGATGCTCGGGCCGGCGAGCCGCTCCCGCGGAGCTCCGGCCAAGGCGGGCGGGCGGGCGGCCCGCGGCGTCCCGGCCGTGTGTTTACAGCTGTTTCCCCCGGTGCCATAACAACGGGCCGAACCCGGCCCCGAGGCCGCCCCAGCCCCGCGCCCCCGGTCCGGCCCCGCGCCAGCGGCCCCGCGTAACGGAGGGGTGCGGGCGGTGGAGGGGGGCTGTCCCGGGCCGCACACGAGGCGTTTTCCCTTCGGAGCTGCCAGCGGGCTCCCGGCCCGGCTGCTGGCCATGGAGATGTGCGGAGGGAGGTGCGGGGTGAGCAGGGTGAGCGGTGCGGAGCTGAGCTGAGCGCTGCGGGGCGATGCGGGCGGATGCGGAGCTAAGCAGGGCTGAGCAGTGCGGAGCTGAGTGGTGCGGGGCACAGCAGGGTGAGCAGTGCGGAGCTGAGCTGAGCTGTGCGGGGCAATGCGGGCAGATGCGGGGCTCAGCGATACGGTGCGGGGCAGAGCAGGGCTGTGCGGTGCGGGGCTCTGCGGGGCAGAGCAGGGGGAGCAGTGTGGAGCTGAATTGCGCGGTGCAGAGCGATGCAGGGAAATGTGGGGCACAGCAGCGTGAGCTGTGTGGAGCTGAGCTGTGCGGTGCGGGGCGGGGCAATGCGGGACGAAGATCGGTGAGCAGTGTGGAGCTGAGCTGTGCGGTGCGGGGCATAGAAGGACTGTGCGGTGCGGGACTCTGCGGGACCAAACAGGGTGAACACTGTGGGGCTGAGCTGAAAGGTGCGGGGCGATGCGGGTGAACACTGTGGGGATGAGCTGAACGGTGCAGGGCACAAAAGGACTGGGCGATGTGGGGCTGTGCGGTGCGGGGCCCTGCGGAGCCAATCAGGGGGAACACTTTGGGGCTGAGCATAAAAGTGCGGGGCGATGCGGGACCAAGCAGGGTGAACACTGTGGGGCTGAGCTGAACGGTGCGGAACACAGCAGGGCTGTCCGGTGCGGGATTTTGCGGGGCGTGAAGGAACGCGGGTCCCGGCCCCAAGGACCCTGCACACACCACCCTTCCCGCCGCCGGACTCCGCTCGGCTCCGCTCCATCCCCGAGCCGCCCGCTCGGTGCCGCCGGTGCCGCCCCGCGGCGGGGGCGGGCGGGGCCGCCCGTCCGGTTCCGGGTCGGCGGAAGATGGCGGCGCCCATGGAGCTGTTCTGCTGGGCCGGGGGCTGGGGGCTGCCCTCGGTGGATCCCGACTGCCTGGCTGTGCTGGTGAGCGGCGGGGCCGGGGCGGCGGGGCCGGGACCGGACCGGGCCGGGGATCCCGAGGGCAGACCCCCGTTCTATCCCTCCCTCCGTCCCTCCCGCAGACCTACGCGCGGTTCACGGGGGCGCCGCTGAAGGTGCACCGGGTCACCAGCCCCTGGAGGAGCCCCTCCGGTAAGGGACCCGCCGAGCATACCGGCACCGCCGGGATCCCCCCGCCCCATTGCACCCGCGTGGTCCCGGTCCCCCCATTCCCCACCATTGCACCCTCCACACCCCCACCCAATAACAGCCTCCCACCCCATCGCATCCCTCATGTGACCCCCACACACTACTGGTCTCCCTGCCCTATTGCACCCCTTTATCTCATTGCACCCCGTTCCCATTGCACCCCCATCCCACTTCACCCCCCATCCCACACCCCCTTATTCCATTGCACCCCCTTATCCCATTGCACCTGCCTTCCCATTGCACCCCTATCCCATTTCGCCCCTTATCCCACACTGCACGATCCCACCCCATTGTGCTCCCTGAACCCCATCACACCCCCTGTCCCATTGCTGCCCTCCATCCTATTGCACCCCCTGCCCTATCACACCCTCCCACCCCATTGCATCCCTTATATCCCCAAACAGCACTGGACCTCCCCCCAGTCCCATTGCACTCCCCATCCCATTGCACCCCCCATGCCATTGCACCCCCCATCCCAT